CTTCCAAGGTGAAAAAAGCAAGAGGAAAAGTCTTAAATAGTATTGGCCCCTGTAGGAAATATTCTACTATAACCTCTGAAGGTTCAAAATGAAAAAAAAAAAATTTTAATTTGGAGATTTTTCTTTCATGTTACTCTGTGTGGAGAGCGTAAAGAATTGCAGGCATTTTACTCCAGAAAGAAGCGAGGGGGACAGTTCTTAACATGCAGCAGCATATGCAGCATGCTGCCTGGTTACCCGCCCAGGAAGAAGCAGGAGACAGCAGCGCAATGGTGAGTGAGAGGGATACCAACAGGAAATTGCCAAACTTCTACAGGAGAAAGTTTGCCAGGAAATGACATCAGAGGTCTCAAAGAGGGCTGTAATACAGCAGACAGGAACTGGGGTGTGGAGGTTAAGAGCAATCACTCAACTGCTGCTAGAATACACAGGGGCCATGTTCACCTAGGCGTCCATGCACTGCACACTCAAGTGCATCGTGCAGCCTCAACAATGCCAAGGGCCCAGTAAAAACCAAAGTGACAGCAACACAAGCATATCCCTAAGAAAGGACCCAGGATGTAAACTTGGCCAGTATGGGGCATCTATTTCCTACTGTTAAAATAGAGCCGCATTCTGAAACTATCCTAAAAGCAAATTCCAAACAGTCTGAGGCAGAAGAGAAACATGAGCAAGAAGGGGATGTACTGAGAACTAGTTCCCAGCGGAAGTACAGCGTGAGGAAAGCAAGCAGCTAACCAAAGGAGAGGTTCAAAAAAGGCGCCTATTTGACACCAAGAGCCCCATCCCCACTGGACCCCAGAACCTTGAGTGGAGGTCAAGAGATGCTCAAAAAGGAGTTTTTGTTGTTGTTGTTTTATTTTTTTTTATTTTTATATTTCCCATACAACTGCAAACCCCTTATTTTGACCCCAATCCCTCCTTTCCCTGCCCGCCCCCCCATAATGTGTCTCTGGTTCATAGCTGTTTGTTGATTTTGATTTTTAAAAAGGAGTTTTTAAAGGAAAAAACTAAGGGGGGGAGAGGAGAACAGAAGTAAGAGAACATGGATACCACTGAAATAAAGATGCCAAAAACAACAAAATATGTTAAACACTCATGACCTCTCTTAACAGCAGTCTCATCTATGTTCAGAGAAAAAGTACTTGTTGGAGCCAGTAGGAAACAAAGGGCTGCCAGCAGCACTGGACTCCTGAGACCACCTCCCCCCGACAGAGATCACCAGCGCAGACCAGGAGCTGCATTTGCTTTACAAATACTTTCAGAGCCACAAAAGTCCCCCAGTTAGAAGTTTCACGGTAGGGCCTCCTACCAGTAGCTGCATAGGAGTCCCAGAGCCATCTTCATTTTCAACTTGACCATGCCACCCGCTACAGTATGGGCAGTAGGAGGAGGAAAAGAAAATAGCATGGTGTCTCTTATCTATGAGCCTTTTTTTAAGTGCTGAGGAAAAGTGCAAATGCCCTAAGCATGTCTGCAAAGGGCGTGTGCTCACAGTCACTGGATTTAGGGAAGGAAGAAGGGCTGGGTGTGGTGAGGAGGATGTGCAGGTGACAGTGATCAGTGTGAGTGCATTTGAGGAAAGTCTTGCAAGACCATTAAAAAGGGGTGCTGATTTCAGTTACCCACTGAAGTGGTAGTAAAGTGAAAGATCATGTGTTTTAGAATCAGACTCACTTTACTGAATTCTTCCAGGCCATTTCCTCACTGGCGAAAAAAAAGAGGGAACTCAGGTATGTGCCTACTTCAAAGGTTGTTGTGGGGATTAAATGAAATAATGTGTGAAATTACATGACAGAGGGTCTGGTAAAGAGTAAGCACTGGGTAAATGTTGTTTAGGGGTGTGTGTGTGTGTGTGTGTGTGTGTGTGTGTGTGTGTATGTGTGCATGTGTGTGAAGTACCTGTGAGTAGTGTAAGATTATCATCATCATTGCAGAGCCACCTAACACAGGAAAGGCCCAGCTTCAAATGTCCAAATGTCAACAAGCAATTATCAATGGGAAGGCCTTAACAAGGATGGATCCCTCACAAAAATGGCATAAATGTGACTTCTTTCCTCTACTACAAGGATCATCACATCTTACATCTCAAAAATTTTCCAAAAGGTTAAAAAAATTCCAGGAGATGCATAGATTCCACCTTGGCCAGGCTACCTTGTAAGTGAAGAGAATCAGGCATGTCCTGACACTGTTCCATCCAATAGAGAATCACAACAAGAGAGAGTCACTTTGTAAGCAGACAGCCAAATCTGAGCCCTAGCTGATGGGATGGCAAGTTCTAGCCTTTATCCTTTAACTGTCATGTTCAAGAGCATAAGGACTTTGCAGCCCACCCTCCTTCCTTATCTCAGCTGGCCACCCTCTGTGGTCAGAAAGACATACCACAGATCAAAGCCTTTTGCCCACAACAGGCAGTGTCAGGAGCTCCTGGGACCACCATGATGAGAAATCCCAATTCAGCCTTTAATCTTCTGCAAATCAATTCAATCAACTGGGGTTAGGACAGAGAAGAGAATTTCAGAAGATTAGTTATAAAGCCTAAAAGGTGAGATGGGCTTGAATGGGGGGTCGGGATGCGGGGGGGCAGGGGCAATGTGGGGGGGGGGTTGGGGGGAAGCAGGAGCGCAGACAACCCAAGATTTGGAATAAAGGTCAATGGAATCTTCCAATTACAGCGCATCCCCACAGCACCAATCACAGGCCTCTGAACAGGAAGGAAGGGACCCCATCCTTCCCATCTCAGCCGCCCAATCTCCCAGTCCTGTCCAATTCCCTGTCTCAAGTATGGACTTATATTGGGCAGAGCCAGGATTCTTCTCTTCCCATAGGCTGTCACACAAAATATTTGCTTGACTTCCTTCCTTTCTAAAGCTTAACAAATTAGAATGTAGGAGTCCTGTCCAGTTCAGTAAGACAGATGGAAAACCGAAAGTAAGACAACCAATGGGCTCGAGGTAGGAAAAGAGAAGAAGCAAAGCAACCTAGTCTCTGAGCACCCAGATCCTCTTTTCCAAGCCCTAGAACTAGAATATATCTGCCAGAACAAGTAGTGCAACAACAGTTCAGTGAATCAGAAGGGATATTCAGTGCACTATAAACCATAGCAAGATCTAATTTGAGGTTTCTTGAGTCTTTTAAGGGGGGCATCACCCACCTGTCCACCTGCTCCATGAAGAGGACAGGAAATCAATGATGTGCCTTTGAATGCACACAACAAAGACAGTACTCCTGTTGCTTGGGTCTTCCTAATTTTTCAGCACTTTCAGCAAATACCCCACAAGCCAGCAAGACGACTGCTCTGGGATATGGGACAATAGGGTTAATGCTTTTCCCTTGCTACCTGCGCAGAATCTTCACAGGTAATCACCGACCAAAACCTGCAAGTCCTTTAACCTCTATAAAATACTGAACTGAATGTTTCAGCTCACTCTGATGACATGAGGGGATCTGAAGGCCCTACTTCCTTAAACAGAAGAGAGAAGAAAGCACCAAGGGAAAAGCAGTATTTGCAAATTCTCCACCAAAGAGCAGGTGGTTTCCAAATCAATACCTAGGCGACTACCTGTTTATAAACTGAGCAAGTCTTCCTCTTCAACAGCTATGGAGAACTCCATTAGGTGTGCCATTGACACTTTGTAAAAAGTTGTTACAAATAGAACCTACTTAGGACTAACGCCAACATCCAGAATAAACCTTCACATACCAAGTTGGTAGAACTAACTTCTGAAGCTTGAGGCACTGCCATAAGGCTCTTTTCCATTTGGACATGTACAAACAATGTGCTTAGAGTCATTCATTCATTCCACAAACATTTACTTAGCAACTACTAGATGTCAATATGGGGCTGGCCAGATTCTAGCCTACAGCTAAACCTTTGTTGTGGAAAAAAAAAAAAAATGTCATCTGCCTTTATGCAGCACACAGTGGAGCAACCTAACATCTGAAATGATGCTTTTTAAAAGCTGGCTTCTCCAAGCAGGCAGAATCTCTTTTTTAGCAATGGCTTTGTACTCGAGGATGCCTGTCCCTGGCCTCCGTCAGAACCTAAGCTCCCTGAAGAAAGTGGCAGCTTTTTGTTCATCATGTGCTCCATGTCCTCATCCAGTAAATGCAATCAAATACAACTGAAATAGAAAACAAAAATTTCTATTCTTCCAAGACCTTGGGCTTTACTCTTCCCAAAGGCTTTCCCACTAGGGGAATGATGAAGCTCCAGAAAGGAGAAAAAAAAGGGGGACGTGGTTACATATCTTAAGAACAATGGGAGTAGGACTTTGGAAGCTCAGGGTGAGTGCAACCACCCCTCAGCTTTCAGAGGTGCCTCCAAGGACCACAGCTGGCATCCCTGTAGAAAGCCTCCCCCCTCCCTCTTGTCTGTTTATTCTTCTCTGGGGAAAAAAAAAAAAAAAAAACACACATTTGGAGTCCTAAAGAAGCAAAGAAGGAGAGGCAAAAGAAGAAATTAGAAGGTGAAGCTACATCTTGAACCTATGATCACCAAAAAGGAAGGAAACCTTAAGGGGAAAGGCTGAGGTGCAAAGCTGGCCCCGGGGAGGAGATGTGTAATTCCCAAGAGGTGGCCCAGCCGCGCCTCCTCTCTGGACAAGCCTGGACACTCTCCTTCCTACAAGGCTTTTTTCTTTTTCCTCCTTAAACAAAAACAAAAAAACAAAACAAAAAAAAAACACTTGAAATAACAGTCTTTAGAAGTAGAGCAGAAAAAGGAAGCGTGTAAGGTAAGGAAGAATTTGGAGAGAGAGAGAGAGAGAGCTTGCTCCCCTTCAGCAGCTTTCCCAAGCTGGCACCAAACCTACAGTTTTTGGACAGTTTCCCTTCAAGTCACCCCTACAGCCCAGAGTTCCAGAAGCCCGAGGGCCCGGCCAGACCCAGAGGAAAGGAGAGGCTCCTTCTAAGGGAGTATTCAGGGCCTGTCACGTAATAAGGTAATAGGGGACGAGAAAGATGAGTCTCCATAGCCCGATCCGTGCCAAGGGACTTGCCTGGGACGTGCTCTGCGCTCCTCCCCTACCTGCAGCCCGGGCAGTCGTTGCGGGACCGGTGCCCTGCGCCAGAACCCGCAGAGAAGTTTCGCCGCTGCAAACGTGAGAAAATGCAGCTCAGCAAAACACCCGCCCCCACCCTCCCGCAGCCCCACCCCCGCAGCCCGACCCCTGGCGGCCGCGACCTTGGCCACCCCGGACGCTCCGGGGTATTGGAGGAAGGGCTGCCCTCGGGGCTTTCCCGGGGACGGGCGTCCGCGGCCGGGGGCTCCAGGGACTCGCCCCTTCGCGGTCTGCCACTGGGCAGGACGCACCCAAGCCCGCCTGCGCCCTGCGCGCCCCCGCCCGGACTCCCCTGCGCCCCCAGCCCTCGCCTGCCCCCGCGCGCCCCCTCTGCGACTCTCGCGCCCGTGCCCGCGCCCGCGCCCGCGGGAGCGCCCAGCTTACCCCGCCGTGCAGGGACCGAGCCTCGGGCAGGGTGGGTTACATCGGGCAGGACGCGCGTCTCTCGCGGACTGGGCTGTAGCTCCCGGGGGATCGCTTTATCTCGCCGCCAAACTCTCGGTGCCTGTCGCTCCTCTGCCCCCCGCCCCCCAACCCCTCCTTCTCTCTTGTCTCTCGGCTCTTTTTTCCGGGTTAATTACGTTTCGCATTAAAGCAAAACCCAGCCCCGGATGTGAGTACAATGCTCAGCGGAGCCAGCCGCGGGGGGAGAGGGGTGCCGGGGCGCCGCGGGGTGGGAGGGGGCGCGGCCGGGCGCCGCGGGCTGCGCGGAGGAGGGGCTGCCCCGAGGCTGGCCCCCTGGCGCCCACCCGGGCCGCCTCGCTCGCAGCTGGCCGCGGCGCAGGTGGGACTCGAGCGGCCGAAAAGGCCGAGCGGAGGGAGGCCCTGGCTTTTGCGCCGAGCCCGGGGCAGCAGGTGGCCGGAGCCACACAGGGGTCCCGAGCTGCGGGCATCTTACAAGGTGGGAGGCGGGGTGCAGCGTGGGCTCCCTCTTTAACCCCATGTCTTCTTCCCAAAGCCCCCGGCCGGCGACTTCAGCCGGGCCTCCCTAGGAATCTGAGCCCAGAGTCAGGGTCCAAAGAAGCTGCGCAGATTGTTCCGGTTCGACCTGCGGGTGCTCCAAGAGCCCACTGGAGCCCTGCTTTCCAATAAGGATATAGGGATTTTTTTCAGACTGTGGCCCAAAGTCGCTTTCCTGTCTCTGGGAGTGAGGGTGCTCTTGGGGGGGAAAATGGGAAATACACAAGCAAGCACTAAGTAACTGCAGCCAAAGGGAACTTAAGAAAACGACTGTGCGCCCAGCGCAGCTACTGCGTTTATGATTCGCACAGCATCCCTGTGGGTATCAATCCCGTTGGCGATGAGGAAACCGAGACTCAGACATTAAGTAATTTTCCTGGGTCCCACAATCAATGGCAGGTCTATCAGGTTCTGACTCGGGCTTCCCACGTGGGACAATAGACGTTTAAATATGCATAAAGTCAGGCGCACACATCGGAAATGCAGAAACATAGTGGATTCAACTCGGGAAGCAGGACCACGAGATGCAGGTCCCGGGGATTCTAATGTGAATGCGGTTTAGACGGTCCCCAGTCCTAGAAGTGTCTGAGGGAGGAGAAGGGGTCAAGGACGAAGACTGAGTGTTGTCAGTGACTGAAAGGCTGGTTCACATCCCAGTTTTGTAGGGGAAAGGCATACTCTTCCAAAGGCTGCAGGACCTGAGGCAACCGAGATTAGGAGTAGGGGGCAAGCCCTGTGAGCAAGGAGGGAGGCTGAAGGACGACCTGTAGGCTGCACACACCCCGAAAACTCCAGTGATGAAACCACACAAGTTTCCTCTTCCATTTTGATTGCCAAAGCAAAATGAGACACCCTGAGATCTCAGGTGTGAAAAAAGGCTGTTTGCTTTTGAGAACATTTTGCTTTGAATGAGGAAGGAAGGGAGACACAAGGAAAAAAAAAAACATTTCCTTTGAAATAAATATATCAACGTTATTTTTTTTTTATTTTTTTGGCCTGGGAAGATTTTTGCCACTCCCATAAATTTCAGGCAGCATAGCATGTTGAAGGGCATGTTCTCTAGAATCAAATGGCCTGGGTTTGAATCCCAGCTATACTACTAGTTAACTTTGATCCCTGGGCAAGCTCCTTAAGCTTTCATGCCTCTGCTTTCTAAATCTGGGTCATTATGAAGCGTAAATGAGTTAACATTTGTAAATGTTTGGATTACTGTAAAACATCAAGTAGGGCCTACGAAAATGTTTTTTAATTTAAAAATCAAATTACAGTTTACAGCATGAAAAGGAACAAAATTCTATCCAACTCTAAGACACTGCAACTGGAACTGAGGGATTTCCAGTATAAGCAGTGAGGTAAAAGTCTCAGCTTTCATGGTATGGTTCATATTAAAACCCATAAAACTCTACTCCCCATGGGGCCTGCCAGAGTCACTCCATCACAGAGCCACAAATATTTTCTGAGCACTACTGTATTACATACAATGAGGACCCAAAGGCCTTGGGGCTTGCTCAGAAGAGACAAGTGTCCTGGACAGTTGAAGCAGCCTGTGTCCTTCCTCGAAGTGCCATGGGAAAGGCACTGAGAGTTAAGTACTATTAGCTTTTAGAGCAACGTGACTTCTTGGTTGGGGGTCGGGGGGGGGGGGGGGGAAGGGGATGTCTCAAGAAGAGGCGAGCTTTGAAATGACTGAGAAAGGATGGGCACAGTTACCCGTGAGGGAAAGTGAGAACATCTTGGGCTGAGGAGAGGGTGCTCAGTGTCCTTTGAATGATGCTAATATTTCACTGGAAGCCTTATTTACTGCTCTGTTTGCCCCTAGCCAGAACGTGACCCCAGTTGCACTACAAATTTCTGTCCTGCTTCAGCTCCCTTACCCCTGGATTTTGGGATGCTTCCTCAGTCAGCTCCCACCATCTCCACCCGTATTGCACACCGCAGAGCAGAGGTCACTTGTCCACTGTTGTCCTTTCGCCATCTCTTGACTGACACATTTTGAAAGTATTTCCATTGCCTGATTTTATGCATTAATTTTTTTTAAATGCAATAAACAGCCCTGATGTCTGAAAATGTGACTGCCTGGGGAAAAAGGAATGCCAAAAAGGGATTTCACCTCAGCCATTTTGGTCCCGTTGTCACATCATTGTAGAGGAAGTTCAACAATTTGCTCAAGGTTTTGTAGCTAGTTAGTGACAGTTGGTTTTAGAACCCAGCGTTGACCACACCCAGTTTCTTCCTGAGTTGATGTAGGACTACTAGGAGATGAAGACTTCTAGCCCAGAAACCAAGAATCTAAACAGAAAGCCTTATGCTCAATGCTATCCATTTATTTTATGCACTTTCTATTCATTTTTAATGTTAATGGCTGTATAACTGTATGACCTAATAACCTTTGGTAGTGAGTGGTTCACCCTCCCGGAACTGCATTCTTCTCTGTTCTTAGAGATACACCTTATATAAGGCATCAGGCTGCAGCTGGGGCCAGTTAGTTTTATTTGGGAAAGTGTGGGGCTTAAGAGGCCAAGATCCTTGGTTGATCCTGGCTCAGGCTGGTTAATTTTGCACAGAAATAAATTGCCCCAAGTTAATATATTACACTTCTGCTCCTACTTTTTTTTTTTTTTAATAAATAGTACTATTGCTTTCAGTTACGAAGTATGAACGTTTTTGTGGCATCCATTTCCAGAAAGATTACTCAAACTACTATTGTTATAATCAGTCCTATTCATTCAACAACAATTATCTGAACTTACTGCCATTTTCCCTCCCCTCTTTCATTTACTTATTTTCCAGGTAGTAAATAAATGCAAATTGCCTTACATGTATTATCTCACTTATATATTACAACACTGGGTGCAAGGTACTATTACATCCCCATTTATAGATGAAGTGACTAAGGCATAGAGAAGAAATCTAGGTACAAATCCATGCAATCTGATGTCAGAACCTGTCCTCTTAACCGCTGAGTTTATGAAGAATACAGAAAAAAAACAAACTATTTCCCTTTCACATTTTTTATAATTATCATTATTTACAATATCCATTTCATTTCACCTAGCAACTTCATATCCAAGGATGTGTCCTACAGAAAGTCATATATTATTAATATGAGGTATATAAGGGGTATATGTTATAATGGAATATATATACATCTATATTCCATACACACACATATCAGACTGCAGCAATTTTATAATGGTGAAATTGGAACTTACTCTAATGCTCATCAATAAATATTAAATGTAATAGGTAAATACTAGTACATCCATAGAATCTTACACCAGGCAGCTGTTAAAAAAAAAATTGAGATACACCTCAGTATGAAAAGTACTATTTGAAGTGGAATAAAATGTGCAGACCTGTATGTCTACATGATATAATACCATTTCTGTAAATAAAAACTATACATGTTCATTACATGAACATGTCTAGAACATTGCACTCCAAAGTGTTAACCACAGTTCTCTTAAGTCTTTGGAGGAGGGGTTATAATGGTAGATCTCACTTTCTAAGAGATGTAGTTTGATTTTTTTTTTTTTGCAATAAGCATGCATAAGCTTTGTTATCAAAAGAGGGCAATAAAAATTTAAATTTTTAATTTTAAGAAAATGTAAAAGCTCTACGAGGAAGCATTTTGCATCACTTGAGTCCATCACTTAGTAGGGAGGGGATTAACGTATACAGAAATAACTATCATAAAACCGAGAAACCGATACACAGATACAGATAGAAGAATTCTATAGGAAAATTGCAACCAGTTGTGGTTGAAAGTGAAGGAGAAAATGTATGAAGGAGATGGCACTCTGAGAAAAGGTGGATTTCAGATAAAGGGATTTTCAAGGGCAAATCATAGAAGTAGGACTGCAAGGGAAGTCCTACTCAGGGAAGTATGACTGATCCAGTTCAGCTAGAGTGCAGAGGACAGAGTGAGGATTTTTATGAGGAACAAAACAGGAAAGGTGGCTGTAGGATCTTTATTGATAAATTAATGAATTAGTAATGTAAGTAGTTATATAGTGATAAAGTAGTAACAAGTAACAAAGTAGTTTAAATAATAAGGTACTTATTACTTTACTTATTACTTATTACTTATTACTTTTTTCAGAGCCTCTTAGGGTCTTTGACAGCATCAGAAATGAATAAGCAGTTTCATAGTGACTGCATAGTAACTGAGTTGTAGCACCAAACTGCAGGGGATTCCTGATTCACTATATTTATCACCATGGGCCAGTCACTAATCTATTTCTATAAAGTGAGGAAGGTGGTGAAAGCAGATTACCTATCTCATACTTTTGGCGTTGAGACTGAATGAGTCAGTGTTTTTAGGGTAAATAAGTGCTAAGAATATGTGTTAAATTTTAAAAATCTGTACCATGCTTTTAGATTAAAATCATGACTTTCATCTTGAAACTTTTATTACAAAGAGCTAATATTACCTGATAAATTGTCTTTTCTTCCCATTCTCACAGGATTATAGATTATTATTCTCAAATTACAGGGGTATAAGCCAGAGGTGCGGGGAGTGAGAGAATTAACCAGAGAGTGGGGAGCAGAACAGGCAGATTGACTGAAATAACACTGCTGAGGGGAGCAGGGGGCAAAATAGGGGAGGTCTGCTGTGCCATGTGGGTTGCTGGCCAGTGATAGCTTGATAGCGAGTTCTTTAACCCT